GGACCAGATAGCTACTATAAGTGCTCTGTTGATATATTTGACAAATTGTCTAGTAGACTTTTCTATATATTGTTTTTTCTATTAAATAACAAAATTTGGGTTGTATATATTTGTGTAATTAAAGTCAAAAGTATGTGTAGTAAGTTGCAGGTGGGCTTTGGCTAGTAAGTTTGCCTTATTATTAAATAAGTTATCTAAGTGAGCTTAAACCTTGTAAAAGATAAGTTGGATATTGAAGGCCCTAGTGGCATTAAAAAGTATATGCCAAATAGACTAGTAGTTAAATTTAAAGTACTTAAAGGACTTGGTAGAGGTAAATAAAAGTTTGTTGTATTTGGAGATGATTAATTGGAAGTCAGTATAGATATCAACCTTGGTATTGTGTAATAGTGTAAAAATAGCTAACAAGATTGCAAGAAGCTCTGCTTTGTAAGAGAAAGACTAGTTAAGAATTCTTGCTAAAAAGCTATTAATAATTTTTCATTGTGTATTTGCACCCAACCAATTCTCATTAAGCAATTACTTGTACTAATATCTAAAACAAAGCTATCAGTACAGAAAGTAAATAATTGTTTATTGCTATTGTAAAGTGAATATTGTGTTAGTAGTTAGCATATGTACTTCACTAGTATGAAAAAGTATTAGGACTAGAGAGTTTACAATATTAATATTAGAAGAAGGTGGAATACTAATTGGGCAGTATTGTATATGGGACATATCCACACTATATAAAATATCCAATATCCAAGATTGTCCAAAATTGTTCAAGCCTATATCTCATATTTAAATAATTAATAAAATAATATAAAAAATATATATAATTATATATATTTTTAGGTACTAAATTTATTTATAAAAAAATTAAAATAGATTATCTTAATAAAATTTTGAATAATTTTAATTTGAAAAAATGTTCAAAATTGTTCAAAATTGTTCTATATACAACACTACTAATTGGGTGCTTAATTGCTGTAGAGTATAGGAGATCAATGTAGTTTGTATTGAGTTTAACTTTCTTGTTAGTTGTTTTCCTGCCTAGAAATTGTGCGGATATGGTGTTGAACACTTCAATAGTACAGTAGTTAGTTAGGCAATTTGAGTTAAGCTTATAACCAAGATATAGGCTACATGTGATAGGTGGTAGAAGATATAAAAAATAATGTTGTGTGTTTATATCATGCTGCTAGTGTATAATTGAAACTGTATTAGTTTGTTTGAAGCTCTTTTTTATTTGGCTAATAATAATTCTGTTGTGTTGATAGATAAGAATTCATAGTCTTAATTTTTTGGAAATAGAATTAAACTAAAATGCAAATAGGTTTATATTTTGTAGTTAGTGTTGTATATGTATAGTGCGGTACTGTGAATTACTAATTATAGTATCTTTCAGAAATAAGAACTAGTATAGTTTTTTCCTCTTGGGAAGGTGTAGGAGTCTGGGGAAGATGTGTTGCTACTCAAGTAGGCATAGATTGTCTGTGATCATTAGTTGTTTTAGAAAGATAATATGTTTGTTTTTAAGCTACTCTTTAAATATTTTGTACTTAATACTTTTAGATAGTATGGATAGAGTATGTAATCAGAAAGAAACCTTGATTATAAACCAAATTTAAGATTTCTTATTAATTTTGAACGGTTTGTAGTAAGCATTGCTTTTATTTGCAGATTTTTGATAATATATAAAAGCTTTATATTCATTCTTTCTTTTAACTTCAATTTTATCTTGACAATAATTACTAAGTATAGTAATTCTATAGGCATTATACATACCTGTAAACTTTTAAAAAGTAAAGCAATGCCTTATGTTTATATTTTGCTTTATTGTTATAAATTATTTGATCAAATTGTAGCTATTATCTTTGTTATATTTGCTTGACTCGATTAATCAGACTCATTATATCTATTACAGCTATTACACTTATTACAACTATTATATCAATTATGATTATTACATCTACAGTGCCCGCTATAAGTATCCGACTTCCGTAATACAAAAAAAGGTAATATAAAACTTTATTTATTTTTTTTTTTATCAAAAAATACATGACTAATTTAAATTTTAATATATTGTATAGTCCCCATTGGCTTCAATCAAAGCCTCAACACAATTTTTCATACTACGAACCAAATTAGCAACAAGATCGCTACTTAAACCATTCTATTCTTTTACCAAACACGATTTCAATCCTGCAAGAGTTTTAATTTTTTTTCTTGCTATTTTAATTTTCAACAACCTCCAAATATTTTTAATAGGATTTTGGTCAGGGAAGACAGATAGCCACGGAAAAACTTTGATATTGTTTTCTTCCTTCTAATCCTTTACCAAAATTGCACGATGCTTTAGATTATTGTCTTCTTGCAAGATCTATCTATCCAAATCGGCCCCAAAAAGAAGCTCAGATGGAAGAAGACCCTTTTTATACACCTTAATCATATATTTGGCATTTAGATTGTGCTAAAAGTAAATCAGCTTACCAAAGCCCAAGGATGAAAAACAACTCTACATGTTGATCTTCAATAGATACTTCACAAACTGCCATAATTTTCACTGCCCAGACAACTGCCAGGTTCTTGGATATGGTTAATTCAAATGAAATATACTTTCATCTGAAAATATTACCTGGTCCCAATCAAAATCCAGATAATCTTTCGCCTATTCTAGCCATTTTTTTTTTGTATTTCTCCATAAGAAGGGGTTTGGAAAGTTTCATCATATATTTTACCCCATCTTTATGTAGACGCTTTTGAATAGTATGTATACTGACACTAACATTCTGTTTTTTTATTTCCTGTTGTATTTCAATGATGGTTATATTTTCTTTTTTATCTGCAAGCTTCAAGATTATTGCATCTTGCTGCAGGGTAGTTATTTGATTTTGGCTAGGTTTTGGTTCATCATTTAAATTTTTTGTTTCCCCACTTTTTTATCCAATAAAATGCAGTAGACTTACTACAGCCTACAATCTTTGCTATGGTTGCAAGTTCAAGCTTCGGACCTTTGGGATGATAGTGCAAAAAAACAATTTCATACTGCTTATACAATGGAAAAGTCATTTTGGTACTATAGAATTTTGGCTGATTGTATTGCACCTGATAAAAGGAGGATTGACCTATAAATAGTAAGTATGATCAGTATGTGCATCATTGTTTGTTATTGAAAAGTTTTAAGGTCATATGTATGATACATGAGAAGTTACACAGGGTCAGATACTTATGGTGAGCACTGTATTATAGCAAAAAATTATAGCTTTAGAATAAAAGGTTGCAACCTTCCAACTTTACTAAACCTATTATAGCAGGCAACCTTAGTTTATACTCATGCCTATACCAAATTTTTGTACTTATACCTATAGCAAATTCTTATACTTGTGCCTATACCTAGTGTTGTAAATAAGACATGTCTACACTATATAAAATGTCTAGTATTTAAGATTATTCATAATTGTCTAGCCTATGTCTCATATTTAAATAATCAATAAAATAATATAAAAAAATATATAATTATATATATTTTTAGATACTAGATTTATTTATAAAAAAATTAAAATAGATTATCTTAATAAAATTTTGAGTAATTTAATTCAGTTGGGGATTATTGAAAATTTGTAGATCATTTCTAGAATAGTCTACAATTATCCCCCGAAATATAATTGGCCTTCTTATAAAAAAAGTCATGGTATTTTGTTGATCTAATATGTAACCAATATGTAACAAAAGTCGAAACTAGTTATCGATATATATATTTTTAAGCACGTACTTTAAGAATCCTCAAGGATCCCTGAAACTTAACAAATTAGTTTTTTCACAAATTCAAAGTTTAAATTTTATAGTTAGTAGATTGATCAACTATGAATTCGAACTCTGAAGCCAAAGATCTGCCCTGCTTCTTCGCTTTTTTTGCTAAAGAACGCAAAGATAGTGACTTGCTAAAATATATAGAAATATGTAGAATTGGGAAGTGGCGAAATGCGTCTACCACTGCAGCAACAAAAAGAATAACAGAAATGGCTAAGTATTTTTCTGAATTAACTTAATATCTTGCCTCTATGGAGAGTTATTCTTTATGTGAAGGGCATTATAATCAGATCATTGCTAAAAAATCTTTTATTGATCAATTAAAGAAAAAAACTGATCCAATTCTTTTATTATTAGAAGAACCAGAGAAAAAAAAATTGAAGTTTTCTATTAACGACATTAAGCCGCAAGTTCCTGAAAAGACTTTCGCCGATTTTGGCATTCATGTAGATTTGTTTGAAAATGCTTGTGTTGATTTTGAATCCCAAGTATTCTTTTCAGATCCAATATGTAAAATTCTTCAAAGAAGAATTGATGAGTTAAAAAAAAATAATAAGCAATTATTAAGTGAAAATAAAACATTAAAAAAAAAGCTAAGCGAAAGATTTACTAACCAAGAAGATCGCATTCATTCTATAATAGAGATTGCTAAAAAAGAATGAAGTAATTTGTGTGAAGATGTAATGAATTTAATAAAGAATCAAGAACAGTTTTCTTTAAGTAGTCTTTTGGAGTATTTTCCTTCCAAGTGGCTTGCTAAGTGAAATCCGGTCATCGTCAAATTAAAGAAACTCTTACGCATAGTAAAAATGAACATTAGCACGAAGAGAAAAAGCTTTTTAAGTGTGTAGTGGCAGTTGATGCTATATAGGTCAAGGCATTTAAGATATGTATCAGCTATTAATTTGGCAATTTCGGCAGTTAAGTATTCGTTAGCAAGATCAAAAATGATCATTGATATTGATAACTATATTATTAGCTCCAGTAGTTATACGAAGTTCAATAATTAGTTAGAAAGTTTAGCTAGAGAACAACTACAGCTTCCTAAGAGTTTTTTGTTTTTGGCCTTTGACAACGAACAGAAAGGTTAAAAAAACTATTTGGATCATGTAAATAATACAGTTATATTCAATACAGTTACAAGTTTCGTTGCATTTAGCTATAGCCAGAGTAATGATATTCAAAGTAAAAATCCTTGGCTATATATGGAACTTGACACAAAACAATATGAAGAGTTATTTTATTTATCATCAGGTATAAGTGATGAAATTAATGAGGAACTTACTAATTGTCTTTCGACTATTTTAGGTGAGCTTTGCATTGAGAAAAATCAAGAAACGAATATAATCAATGAATTGGTTCATCAGCAAAGTCAAATAGGACATACGAAAAAATGTCTAGATTGCTAGACCTCTAATATCGATAATAAGAAACGAGTTTGTCCTAAATGCAAAAATAAATTACCAATGCTTACTAAGATAGTTGACGAACAATCTAAGATCGTAAATACCATTGAAAAATCACCTATTTCTCATTAAGTATTTAAACAATGATCAATTCTGGAAAGTGAAGTTCATGAGCCACAAATATTTGTTTCTGATCCAATAGGAATTAATCCAAACTCAGTTACTAATATTAGAAAAGTTCTTGAGCATATTGAAGAAATATCTGGAGTTAAAAATAGTAGCCGTAAATAGGTTGTAGTTACCTGTAATGGAGTACCATATCATCATATACAAAAAATGAAAAAAATTTTTCTTGGTTTATATTAATTCTGGGTGCTCTTCATGAAGAAATGAATATGCTAAAGGCACTCGTTGAATTAAATTGGGATATTGATCTAAAAGATTTTGCTAAGTGCCAAAGATATCGAACTGACAACCAACTCCAGTTTTTTAAAAAATACTCTGATCATCATAAGTCATGGGATTCTATACATAATATATATAGACACGTATTGGTATTTGAGTTAATGTGGGCATATATTATTTCTGAAGAAAATCCTTCTGTTGAAGGATTTTTAAAATGAGCTCAAAATCAGACTGATCATATGTTTAGGTTAAAGTATAAACAAACTTTTATTTATTTGCAAGCAATTATTAACTTTTGTACCAGTATTTGTTTTAATAAGCCTTCACTAAAGTTTGTAGCTAGACGAATATTTGCACCTATTTGGTCTGCTTGATGGCATCCAATTTATCGATTAATCGAAATTGCTGATGAAGAACAAATGCTATGATTAAGGCCTGAAATTTGAAAATTAATCCAAGAAAGGGTTGTTACTTCGTGATCCAAACTTTCAAACCAACATCAAGGCCATAATGCAATACTTAAAGAAATTAACAAATCATTGAAATCATTAATTTCTCTAATACTTTCACAATGGCATTGGAAAATTGTGACACGTAATTGTACTAATTTTTCAAAATTGCGTACTAACATTTTTAATATAATAGGATACTCCGAAAGTAAAGCCAATGGGCCTCGTACATGTCCCAGTTTTACTGCTGAATCACGTCGATTCTGGGTTCAGATAAGAAAAGCTCAATTTGTAAATCCAAATGCTAATAATTATATTTTTCAAAATCTAGGTAGAGAATTGATATTAAGCAAACAAATAATAAGATTTAATGAAATCGCGAGTACGAAAAGAAATAAAATTATTAAAGCAACATTAATTAAAAAAACACCTTTAGGCATTTGGCGTCCAATTCTCATAACATATGATGAGACAGAACTTCAAAAAAGCGAAGGCTCTTTAAAAAAATTAGAAATTTTATCTATTATTACCTCTTTAATTCTTTCTTTAGATGATTCAGATCGATCACACTTTCATGGTTTATCAAATAAGTCCCGTGAAGAATTAGTAAATATTCTTCAAGAAGTCAAAAATATATTAGCTAAAAATAACATTAGTATTAGTGAAGAATAATTGATAGGATAATTTTTCTTGGAAAATTGTTATTTATTACAGTATTATCAATAGTTACTATTTTATTTATATATAAAAGTGCAATAAATTTTAATATATTGTAGTATTTATTAATAATTAATTAATCGTTTAATGTTTTAATATATTTGCTACAATTAAGTAATTATGAAGTAATTCATTACGACAATTAATGCGAAAAGATAAAGTAATATTTTAATAGATTTGTTTGGTGCCGTAAATTTTAACATAATATCACTTATAAATTTGGTTCAAGAATTTTCTGACAAAGTCAAATTTTATTAGATATTTTCAAATTAAAGAAAGATAATTTTAAATAAATTTTTAAAGCTAAGTGTTCATCGAATCATTTAGGAGATAAAAAAGGATTTTGAATAATTTCTCATTTAATAATATAATCCCAAATTTTTCCTCCATCTATTTGTAAATTATCAAGTTTAGCCATTACTACACTAAAATATGAAAAGTAAAAAAGACTTAGAACACCAAATGAAATACTACTAACTAAATTTAATAGCAATACATCACCAATAAAACTAAAGGTTGGGATCCTGCGGCCTAGTGGTCTAGGCACCCAACCCTTCACGAGTGGGTTTCAGGTTCAAGTACTAGTAGACACAGATTCTACGAATATTTGAATATACTCACTGTGAGAAGTCCAAGTGAGTACAAGTCTGAATTAGGAATTTCCAGAAGAAGGTCCATTGTGGAGAAGTCGGCACTATATATAACAGTGGTTGTTACAGAAGGTTCTATTACACAAAGGTTGTGCATGTAAATCCTCAGTTGGCATAGGTAGCACCAACAACTCTAAGGCGGCATTGGGATCTTGCTTGGGAGGATAACCGGGTAGTAACTAGAACTGGAATAGTGAGAAAAGTGGTGAACACAAAGGGATCTGTGGTAAAGAATTGGCCTTACCAGATTT